ATATAATATATATGCAATATTATAAAAAGAACGTTCACATTTTTTAAAACATTATTTAAAATACCGTCATTTGAGGTAACTTGGAATACCGACGTAACTTTGAACAATTTGCAATGGTTTACAAAAACATGTGGCATCATTAAACGGATAGAGGTAAAACTTTCATAAAAACGATATAAAAGCTAACCCAAGTGACGGTATATTACTGTCCTTGAAATAAAATAATTTTTGTCAATTTGTCTGATATATTTGTCTGACATTTTTGGCTCATTAATTTTCTCTCATAATTCATAACAATTTTAACATAATTTTCTATAATTAATTTTGTTATAAAGTATTTGTGGTTTTGAAGAAAGTCTAATTCTTTTTATAACTTCTACTATATTATTACATTTTTATAAAATGGGACATCTGGTCACTTCATTTCTTTTATATATATATATATATATATATATATATATATATATATATATAACTTCTACTATATTATTACGTTTTTCCAATACGTATCACCATGTGATACGCGGATATTAGAAACGTTTACGTTGCTAATTCTGTTTTGCTCTACTGAGTTCCTTCTTTTACCGTTGCTTGGTCTTGGCGGCGCTACAGATGTTGACAGACATTTAAAATCGCCGCTAGCAATCCATGGTTATATAGGGTGCTTTCCAATTGCTTAACACATCTTGACACACACGTACACAAAACCAGTTTATTGGTTACATATTATCTAAAACATCTTGTAAGATAATATGCAACCAATAAACTGGTTTTGTGTAACACAGTGTACGCAACTGGAAAGTACCCATAGTCAAAGCGTGAGACACTTAGTGGGAACGCATCCTAATGGCTCCTGCACACAGGACGCGGTAATGTTTGCCGCGCGGCGAAAGTCCGCGCGACAGCCAATCAATATGTTGTTTTTCCGTAAGAGCTAGAAGGTTATTACGGAAAGCAGCATATTGATTGGCTGTTGCGCGAACTTCCGCCGCGCGGCAAGTATTACCGCGTCTTATATGCAGGAGCCATAACCGTTAAGGCCAAATCACACTAACGATTGGCGATAGATGATTGACGATTGAAGATTAGAACTTGACCAATTGGAAAATAAGTCAAGATTGAAGCTTGTTGATTCGTTAAAATCTAATCTTTAATTGTCAATTGACAATCGCTAGTGTGATTTGGCCTTAAGACGTAACGTAAGAATTGACCAATTACGATCGAGTATTCACACAAATGGCGACCTTACAATTCGACGATTCTCAACATGGTCAATTCTTATGTTACATCTTAAGGTGCCTTTACATGGAAGCATCGAGTGTCGAGCGTTAAAGCAGTAGCTAATTAACGTGCCAGTTTCCGCAAGAACTACAAGTATACTTCTGGGACCTAATACGTTGATTGGCTAACGCTTTAACGCTCGACGCTGGAACGCTTCCATGTATTGGCACCTTTAGTCCCGAGCCACAATAAATGTAGTAAACTTTAAGCCTTAAGAAATTGACCAATCACAGTCGATTATTCTCCTTAAATTTGACTGTGATTGGTCAATTTTTTAAAGCTTAAAGCTTGCTACACCTATTGTGGATCGGGACTTAAGCTGGTGGCACATAGAAAAACTTAAGCAGTAAGACTTAAGCAGTAAACAAATTGGCCAATCACAGTCATTGATTCTTCTTACAGTTCAAGAATCAACGACTGTGATTGGACAATTTGCTTGCTTCTTATGTCTTACTACTTAAGTTTTCTGTATGCCACGTCCCTTAAGCCCATTTTACAATTGCGTGAACGTGGATGTAAGTGGTTGTAAGTGATTACGACAACCAATCAGAGTAAAGCAATCAGTGAATAAAACATTCGGATTGGTTGACTCTTACGTTCACGACTACGCTTACGCAATTGTAGAATGGGCTTTATAGTTATTGTTACTGAAAGTGTGTGTGACCAGTTTTACATGAACTATAGATGTTTAGTACTGGCATTGAATTTCAGAACACAGCAATAAGGTGCGTTCGGGGAGCACGCTTCCAACGTTATCGCTATGGGAGCGTTGCACTTGGACACGGTGCATTTGGACACAGCCAATCACAGCACCGTATGATTAGAGACATTTGTAGGGTCCCTTGGAACAGCGACTTGTGATTGGACTGTGTCCAATTGCCCCGTGTCCAACTGATATACACCCTATCGCTATATATGGGCGATACCGATTATAGCTATAATTGATTATTTTTTTTCGATATATAATCATTTTGTAATCGATTGTTTGACAACTCGATTATCGAAAATCGATACTTTTAAACCGATTATTGACTCCATGAAGTAAGAGGTAGGAGGTGCTTACGATATCAAGTGCAGAGCGAGTGAGAGAAAGTAGTATCTATTCCCATCTACAACTAATATATTTTATGGCTACTCTTGCTTTGCTCTGTTTGGCGGCGTTCAGAAACTCTACTCCGTGAGTAGAGTAACATTTAATTAGCCAATCAGAGCAAAAGGAACTAAGATTTATTTATTATGATTGGTTTATTAAAGTAACTCTACCTATCGAATAGTATTTCTGCACATAGCCTTTTAGGGATGGGAAATCGTCAGTTTAAAAATCAATTTTTGAATCAATTTCGTATTAAACTAACTAAAATCGATTTGCTAAAAAATCGGATTGAAGAAAATCGATTAAAAAATTGTTA